CGTAGCGACAAACACTAGTCGGGGCGGCAAAACATTCGCAAAACAAAAGATAACACATGCAAAATGATGAAAAATATCTAACAAATATTAGGTTAACTAACAATGTGAAGAGATTTATATTCACATGGCAGATATCAATATACGGTGATGGTGCTAGCCACAAACCCAGCAAGAAAATCACGGTGATGTCTCTTCCCGTACATGCAGTAATGAATCTTTGTGTAGTAAATATTTATATAGCATAGTAATAAGTAATTATTCAATTTGATGACTAAATTAGACATAAATCAAACCTTATTATTTTGTGTCCTACCCAAAATCTTACCACCCCTTGACTTTTGCCATGTCTATTGGAATCTTGTCTGCTTAACTTGAGTGTCGGCTTCCTTGATCTATTGCTCAAATTACGTAGTCATCATGCAAAATAAGTCAACTAGTCATAAACCATGCACGTTCTTGTGTCCTTCAAGTTCATTGTATTTTTAAACGACCTAGGTAAAATTTCGATTATCGGATTTTTTTCGGTTTGAGACTTTTTTAAAATTTAAAGTTCAAACTTAAAGGTAGGTATGAAAGACTCAAAAGTATATGATATAGTTCATCATGATATGAATATTGCGCCTTCAGTTTAATTTCGAGTGTTTTTTGTATGATCTTAATAAATACATCGATTTATGTGAGTTGGCCTTTTGGGTCACAAGTTCTCACTATTGAATAAATAATTTGATTAAAGAAAGTTGTGTTGGCATTCTAACAACTTAAAGGCGCGTTTGATTTACTGTTTTCAATTTTTAATTTTGCAAAACACTGAAAATGTGCTTAATTTGATATTTTTGAAAATGCATTTTTTGTAAATAAGTTTGAACTTATGACATTAAACTAAATGTATTTTTGACATTTTGAATGTTTTCAGTTAAAATTTTTAAAACGTTCAAATTGTGGAAAAGAAGCGGTTAAATAAAATTTTAAAAATATAAGTAAATTATAATGAATAAAATTTCAAACTTTTAAAAAAATAAAATTCACCAAAAAATAAATTCAAAAAAATAAAATTAACAAATTCTTAGAAATAGAAAAATAATTTTTTTGAAAAAATAAATTCTTTAAAAAAACTAAAATTACAAAAAATTAAATTATAAAAATTTCTAGAAAAAAAA